TTGGCTCTTTTATGACTCGTGGACTTCAACTCCCAGAATTCCTGGCTCAGGAATTCTGGGAGTTGAAGTCCACGAGTCATAAAAGAGCCAAGGTTGACTACCCCTGCTTTAAAGGGAAAGGAGCAGAAGACTTGGGTGCAAACACAAAACAATGCCAAATTTTTTTTCCAAAAAGGTGGCATCCATAATCGATTGGGGCTCTGCCTTGACATCTTCCGAAACTCATCAAAAGGGTCTCTTCCTGCAATTTTCATGTCCAAATATACCGAAAAGCTAGCCAGATGTAGATCTAATAAAGATGCCCCCTTCAATTCTAAAGAACTTTAAAAGAAACCCGGATCAGATTATGCCCAGATTAGGGCCAAACTCCTGATTAGCACGTACAAGTTTAGCCCAGGAGTCATCTCGTTAGCAAAGATCTCACTTCCCCTCTTTTGACAGTAAAAATCTCATCTCTGTTTCCAGAAACTGCTCTGCAATAGAGAGGGGGAGTTTTGCTAACAAGCCAAAGATCTTTTCAGGGGGTCCCAGAGACCCCTGCGAAGTAGGACGAGCCTCAACATTAGGCCTTTGCTACCAACTGAAAAGTTAGGCCCGAGCCTTTTGGAAGGAATTCCTCCAGAGGAGAGCTCTCAGCTCCTTCCCCCATTTTCTTCCTGCAAAAAAACAATCTGTTCAGAGTGCCTAAATTGGTTTTCTACATGAGCTACTTTGCCCTTGTCCTCATTTTAATTCATAGATTGGTTGCAACTGCAATCATGGATGGATGGATGGAGGCATCTTTTGCTACTACTATCAGGAAGGGAGGGAGGGAGGGAGAAAGAGAAAGAGAGAAAGAAAAGAAAGGGAGAAATGCCTTTTTCGCTGTTGGGTACCCCATCGCATCTTCCCAACCCTTGGCAGTCCTTTTTCAAAGCCACACCATCGCATCGCATCAACTATGCACTGGACCGTTTCTTTTGAAGAGCAGCAGAATAATCCTGGGTACACACTGTGTTGCACTGTGGTCAACAGGTATTTGTCTGCCTCACCTGTGTGGTGTTGGGTACCTGGCTGACTTTGTGAGTCATCCACTCTCTTGGCCCTTCACACAAAGCTCAGGTGCACATCAGCGTTTGAACGCCGTATGGGCACACGGAAGGACCTATGAAATAGCTTCCCCATTGATTTCCAAAACCAAGCACACTGTGCCAGGCACGTGCCAGGGAACCATTTAAATACCAGCTGCTAGTCCTCAACACACATATGAATGCACACCTGTGCATTCATATTCAGCTTTTTTTTCCTGAGAACTGGCTGGGGAATCCGGGAGGGGAGATAAATTGATATATTTTTTTCTTTTCTCCAGCTTAATTCAGTGTTATTTTTCATTTACATATTTACCAGCCAGAATATACTCAATAGCTTTGATTTATTTATTTTTTGGCAACAGAATTTTTATAATGACTTAGCACTTTATATCACTGATAGGTTTTCCCAGTCTTCATAAACTGCTCTTTTTAAGATAGATCTTTTTTTTTTTTTGCACTACAGTTTTAAGAATTCATTTCCCCTCCTGTATTTTCAAGACACAAGAAAAGCAGGATTCTAATCCAGGAACTATCCTATTCTTTTATCTGGGATGATGACTGCTGTTCAGGGTTAAGCTTTCCTTTTCTTACAATAAGTCCCCCAAGAAACAAAAATATACCAACTTCTGTGGTCTCAACCTACCAAAAGCCTTTTTTTTTTTTTGCAAAACAAAAACAAAATGTCAGGTTTGACTATCTGATTTCTCCACCAAATTTGGTAACCGTCTGCTGCTGCTGTTTAATTGCATGCAAATATCCTGGCAGTGAAAAAGAAAAGAAAAGAAAAGAAAAAAGTTCTGCCAGCTAAGGGCTAAGATGAGATAATCTGCTTTCCAAAACACCAAACAGAAAAACAAAGCAATGCCAGAACTTGCTTTCTCGCTGACCTCCAGCTTCCTAATCGGAAGTTGCAAAGCGAACCAATCCAGGAGGAAGAACAAATGGCTTTTGGGTTTGTTTGTTTTTTTGTTTTTCCTAAAAGCCAGGAGAGGTGTTAAAATCCTTGGGCTACTAGGTTTACGACAGGGGTCTCCAACCTTGGCGACTTTAAGACTTATGGACTTCAACTCCCAGAATTCCCCAGCCAGCGTGCTGGGGAACCGAAGGCGCAGGGCGTGAGAAGCGTTTCTCTAACTTCGACCCAAGCAAGCAGACTGCCCTTGCACATGGAGGTTCCACTGAGCTGGCTCTGCCAATGCATTTCTCCTCCATCACAAGCTTATCTGAGATTTCTGGACCGGCAGCCTTCACCGCAAGTTACGCAAGCAAATTCCCCGGCATCAGCTGTGGATCTGGAGAACTGCTCGTTCCTTCCTTCCCTCTGTCTAGACATTATCGCCCTGCTCCTCTTCTTATGAGGTCAGCTGAACCAGGGACACGGGATCCCCGTCTCTCAAGATCTGACATTTCAAGATCCACTTCCAGGAGGGTCCGCCAAAAGCAGCAGCAGCAGCTTAGAAGGTTCTAAGCTATGTGATCAGGCCAAATGGAGCCTCCATATCCAGGGGCAGTATGTCTCTGGTTGGGACACAGCCAGGAAAGGGTTGCTGTAGGTTCTCCGGGTGAGTTCCTCAGCTGGTTGTGGATAGGCCGATGTAAGCTGGTTGGTGGATCACAGGAGTTGTAGTCCAGCAACCAGAGCTGGTCCAGGAAAATTAGGCCCAGTGGGACCTTTTTAGAGAAAACCCCCATAAATTTCCCCTGCATTAGCCTCAAAAGACAACAGAAAAGGTTCTCCATGGGGGTCTGGGCCAAACAAAACCAGAAGTGGCCTGTTGCAAGTAGTGAATACCCCCCCTCAGAAAGGGCTACTCCAGGCCACAGACTAATCTGCACTTAAAACAGGTGTGTGTTGAACCACACTAGGCCTATACCACTTTCAAGGCTGAGATGATTAAAGGCCTGGAGACTAAAATGTATGAAGAACAGTTGCAGGAACTGGGTATGTCTCCTCTAGAGAAAAGAAGGACTGGGGGGAGGGGGGGTACATGAAAGCAGCGTTCCAGTATTTGAGGGGCTGCCACAAAGAAGAGGCGGCTCAACTTATTCTCCAAAGCACCAGAGGGAAGGACAAGAAACAATGGATGGAAACTAACCAAGGAGGGAAGCAACCTGGAATTAAGGAGAAATTTCCTGGCAGTGAGGACAATTAACCAGTGGAACAGCTGGCCTCCAGAAGTTGTGGGTGCTTCATCACTGGAGGCTTTTTTAAAGAAAAGACTGGACATCTGTCTGAAATGCATAGGGTCTCCTGCTTGAGTAGGGGGTTGGACTAGAAGAGTCCCTTCCAACTCTATTCTGATTTATTGATTCCTAACTCCTCCCCCCTACAGCCCCGCATACTGACAGCTAGCAGCTCCAGGTAAGGCTGATATGGGTCAAAGTGGGGAACATCCAGAGTCTCACCCCAGCATGTCAACCGCCACCCTCTTCAAGGTGAGGAAAGCTTCCAAACCAAACTGGAATGCGGTGGGGAATTATGGTGCCTGTAGTCCCACACAGCTGGAGAGTCCCCACATCGTCAGCACCCTAACCTACCCCAGCCGTTCATCCCTTCCCCCTTCCAAAGCGGTGGGGCAGTGAACAGTTATCTTTGTTTATGAACAGAACACAAGACACAAACGCAGTCTTTCAGGCTGGGCCCGGCCACACAATTGTGTGTTTTTCTCCTTTCTAGAAGGAGATGGCCGGAGAACAAGCAAACAATTCAGGCATTTTCACACCAGAGATTTAACCCCCTGGTTCTAAGGGGGAAAATAATAATAACAACACTACTAATACTCAAAAGGCCTCAGGCGAGAAGGATGGATGGGAAAACAAAGCAAAGCTGACCCCTTAGCCAGCCCCTTTTGTCGCTTCACACGCACCACACACTCGCGTGCATAGTTTCCATATTAGCTTGCAGATGGCGGAGCAGGGTGAAGGAGGGGGCAGCATCCAAGCAGGCAGAGACCTCCTTCTCCCCTCCCCCCCATAGGATTGCGAGCAGAGACCTTAGAAGCGGCGCAGAGGAAGGAACCAGCCACGCGGGGAAATTAAGACGCCCATCTGCACATTCACACGCACTCGCGCCCCGCTTCTCTATTTATAAACAGCGGCGCAGTGCACGGGAAAGGGGTGGGGAAGAGTGTAAATGCACGAGGCAAATACGCCCGGCTACGCTTTTTTTACCCCTTTTTTGAGAAAAATGCACGCTGCCGGCGCCCCAATTGGCTGGGCCCGGTGGCGGGGACCCCACTTTTAAAGGCGGCGGACCCTTCCCTTTAAAGCCAAGTTACCTAAGCGGGATTGAGGGGGGGGGGTGCGGGGGCTGGGAGCCGCATTAATCCTTTGCCAGGCGCCTTGACGCTGCCTTCGATATGGCGGATCCAGCCTTTGAAATGCGAGGCCCTGGGCGCTTCAAGATTCTATCCCTCAAGGGGAAAGGGAGGGCGAGAGGGAGGGAAAGAATGGAACCGCCTCGCTGGCAAGTTTACAAACGAGGTCTGGGCCTGCTGGCGCTTTTGTCCCCCCCCGTTTTCCCGGGTGGGGGTAGACGAGGGAGGGGGGGGGAAAAGATAGAAAGTATCAAGGAGGCCAAAACAAGCCGCACAAAGTAAACCAAAAGTATCTCCTTTGAAGCCTCAGGAAGGAAGCGGGCGCCGATTATGCCCACCCGGCGACGGTTGGCAAATCTTTCGGGGAGGGGGATCCGCAGCCCGCCCCCCAGCCCGCGACACCCAAACAGGGACATTTCTTCTGCCACCCCCAGCCCCAGTCTGGGATTTGCAAAGTGGCTTTGCTTCTGGGCATCAACCTCTTTCCCCCCCCTCCCCCCGGAAACCACAGCCCACCGGCCGGGCCTCCTCCTCCTCGCTTCCCCCGGAGGTTCCAGCCCTGCAAGAGCCGGGACCAGCGACCCCCCCCTCCCCCGGCCCAAGGCGGCCTTACCTGGTTCAAATCTTCGTCGTTCAGCAGGTGCGACTCGCGAGGCTTGAAGCAATTCTGACACTTGCTTTTATTGAAAATGTTCGCCTGAAATTTCCGGCAGGGGTTTTCTTTCGCAGCCATGGCGCGTGTGTGTGTGTGTGTGTGTGGCTCCCGGGGGGGAGCTCCCGGGGGGGGGAGAGAAGCAGAAAAATCGACCCTCCAAGTGCTGCTCCTCCTCCTCCTCCTCCTCCTCCTCCTCCCCGCGTCAGTCGTTCCGCCAAAGGAGGGCAGGCCAGGCCCCGTCCGCGCACGGGTGTCGAAGAAGGTCGTCGGAAAGGCGAGCAGTCCGCCCGCTACGCCCGGCCTCCGCCGCGGGCCTCTCTCTGCCAGCGCTGCGCAGCCCTCCGGAGGCCCCCAGCGGGCCGCATCCCAGGGCTCGGGCCCCCCAGCAGCCGAACGGGGGCGCGGCAGGCCAGCCGGTCCCGGCTCGGGGGCGCGCAGCTGCTCCCGGTCCGCGGCTCCAGCCGGGGGGGCGGAGCGGGGCGGCGGAGGCGGNGGCGGCGGCGGCGGCGGAGGGCGAGCCTCCAGCTGCCGGGGCAGGCGGGCCCAGCGGAGGCGGAGGGTCCCACGCGGGGGCGCTCAATCCAGGCGCCGGCCAGAGGCTTCCACGCCGCGCCGGTCGGCCGGGGCTGCCCGGCTGCTCTCCGCAGACAGCTCCGGCCCGGGCAAGGGCCGCGGGCCGTCCATGCCGCCGCCGCCCCAGGCGGAGGAAGCCAATCCAGGGCTCAGCCCGACTCCAGGCGGACGGACGGCGCGACGGAGATCAGGCGCGGCTCCTGTCGCCGGCCCGGAAACCCGGCGTGGCGGTCCGTTCCAGCTCAGCAGCGCCTCCCCGGACGGAGCGGCTCCGGATCCCGGTCCCGCCTCGCCCAGGCCCCGCTCAGCGCCCCGCCGCCTCTTCCAAGGCGCAGGCCGCCCCTCCACGCGGGGCAGGGGCAGGGCAGGGGGCGGCGGCGGCGTCCAGCGAGAGGGAAACGCCTTGATTTCTCAGCCCCCCCCTGCCTTGGCGCCCCCCCCCGTCGGAGGGGATGCTTTGGAAATCCCAGGGCGTGCAAAACTAAGCCAGCAGGAGCCCCCCTCCTCCTCCTCCTCCTCCTCCCCCCCACACCAACAAAATCCGCCCAGGCTCTCGCGCTGCGGAGGCCGAGCTTTTGCAAAGGTTACCAATTGGGTGGGTGGGCGGGTTGGGAGGGACGAGAAATCCGGAAAGCGGGGGGAGGGGAAGGGCCGTCACGCGCTCCCGGGACTCCGGGAGGAAAGGGGGGGAGGAGGGGGGGAAGAGCCCTCCGCCTCTTGCTGCTTTCTTCGCGTCCCCCCCCCAAACACACACGTTTTTTGGGGGGAGGGGAGTAATTGACTTTGCCCGCGATCCAATGGCGAGGCGGCTGGGCTCTTCACAAAAGGACGGCCAACCCAATCGGGAAAGAGGCTGAGCCAGAGGCGGGTCCCTCCCTGACCCACGTCATGTGCGAAAGCGCACACAATGCGCACCCAGGCGAGCGCGGGGGGGAGGGAGGGGGGGCGGTTGAATGGCTCAGGCTTGGTGGACGCGCGCGGGGGGCAGCGCTTCGGGGGCCGGAGGCGGGGAAGGGAGGGAGGCGGGCCTGAGCAGTTGGCTGGCCGGCCGGCTGGCTGGCCGGGGAGGGTCCCTGCCATCCCCAGCCTTGGGACGGGCGGGGGCTTCGCCAGACGCTTCGGGACTGGCCGCTCGCAAGAGGCTGAGGTTTCGGAGTCGGGGCGGTGGGATCCAGCCGTCTCGCGGGGACCCCTCCTCGCCCGGGGGGGACGAGAGAAGCAGACAAAGGCTGCGGCGCGGGTCTTCATCTCTCCGGCCTTTCCTTCGACCCCGTCCCCAAAAAAACCTGCCTACCCAGCTGCCGGAACGCCGAGACTGAGCATTCACCGAGGAACGACCTTTGGTGCTGTGAGCCGCCCAGAGTCCGTTGGACACCAGACGGGCGGCAAATAAAGATGGATGGATGGATGGATGGATGGATGGATGGGATAGATGGAGAGAGAGGGGGGGGATAGATAGATAGATAGATAGATAGATAGATAGATAGATAGATAGATAGATAGATAGATAGATAGATAGATAGATAGATAGATAGATAGATAGGGATGGATGGATGGATGGATGGATGGATGGATGGATGGATGGATGGATGATAGAGATAGTGAGATGGATGGATGGATGGATACAAAGATAGAGATAGATAGATAGATAGATAGATAGATAGATAGATAGATAGATAGATAGATAGATAGATAGATAGATAGATAGATAATCGGACTGGCAGGCTGTTTCGCACCATCCCCTTCCCAAATCTGTGCACACTTAGATGCTGAGCTTTCTTTTTTTTCCCCTGCCCCCCCAGCTGGAAACACGGCCACCTGATTCTGCTGCTCCATAGACAGGAGTCAGTTCTCTTCCTATATTCTCTCCCCTTGGAAGGGGGGGCGACTGACCCCCCACCACCACATTCAGTCAGAAACAGCTGACTGCATTGACCAGTTTTCCTTTCATACCAACCATCTATAATTATGCACAATTTCTCTGTTGCTTGGCTCGCCCGGAACTTTGAATTTTGTTATTTTATTTGCTGCTCATCTCCAGCGGCTTCTTTCTCTCCTGCCCTTTAACCCCTTTTCGGAGAGGTAGGCCTGGGATCCCTCCCAGCTTAGGAAGTGGCCGCTCTGGGTCGCCAGTCCTGCTCGGCGAGGCCTGGGAAGGGGGTGAGCAGCTTATGGGGGCGTTGGGTCTTCCTGAGGGGGGCAAAGAGGCCCTCCCACGTCAGAGCCACAGGTGGGAAGTGAGAATTCCTGTGCCCATCCGGTTTCAGCTTTTCCCCTTTTCTCCAGTTTTGCTCTCTGCTTCGATGGGGTGGAGGTCCTGGCCAAGGGCCAGCAATTCAATGGGAATTCACTGAAACCTACCCTTTGTGCTGGTGCCTCACTTGTTTCCTTGGCTCATTAACCAACACAACTTTCCCCCCCCCTTGCTTCAGAGTCCAAGGGGCCTTGGCGAAAGCCGCAAGAAGGGGGAAAACAGAACACGGTGCAGGAGAACTGCACCTTACGCTGTGTTTGCTTGGCAGGGTGATAATCCCCTCCTAGTTCTGCATTAGAAACTCCTTACTTTGTTTGCTTACTAGATTCCTCTCAAGTGGGAGACAAAGCACTCGGATCCACCCCATGCTTAATTTTGAAAGTAGACCTAATCTCTCCCTCTCTTACACAGAAACGCACACTCACACAGAGGCACCTGTTCCCGCTGCGGGTTTTCAGCCTCTTATTCCAGGGGGGAGGCTGGCTTTTCAGAAGGTGAACTCAGAAGTCATTGCAGTAAATGATATTTTTAAATACAGGAGTTGGAAGAAGCAGGAGAAGAAGAGCATGGATGTTTTGGGAGGCTGGTGATGGAGAAGATTCCTGAGAATGGGATGGAGACAACAAATCAAACACATCAACTCAAGAGTTCTCGCTCAAAGAAATGACAAAGGACCAGGATAAAATGATCTGACTTTGGATGCACGATGTGAAAGACCAGGTCTCTGGAGAAGTCCTTAATGGTGGAAGGAAGGAAGGAAGGAAGGAAGGAGGGAAGGAAGGAAGGAAGGAAGGAAGGAGAGGATGACCATCAGCCAGGTGGTTGGACTTGGTTGTGATGATGGGTCCACTCTTGAAAGACCTGTAGGACCAGGTTGGAGAAAGATCATCCTGGGGAAAAAAGCTATCTTCTTGCTAAGAGTCAACAATGACTTGATGGCATCTAGTCAATCAATCGGCAGAAGACCCATCTCTTTGGAGAAGGCTCTGATGCTGAGAAAGGTAGAAGGAAGGAGAAGAAGAGGATGGCCAGAAACCAAATGAGTGGACTTGGTTGTGGCGGTGATGGGTCCACTCTTGAAAGACCTGTAGGACCAGGTTGGAGACAGATCATGAAGCTGTCTTGGAGGTCAAACTTCTCAAGTGGACATTGGAATTAAATTCATGTTAGCGGGAAATCCTGGGAGTGCAAATATGGAAGGTAACGTAAGAGATGGCAACCTACATCAGCTCAATTCCAGCACGGAGCTGATATTAGATCCTAGGAAAGAATTCTGCAAAATGCGGCAAGATCAAGCCTTCAGCCTGGTAGGAGCAAGTCCTTGTCTAGATCTTGCAGATTCTTTTTACTCAAGCAGGGCGGTGCTGTTTATTTGGGGAAGGGCCCAACGCTGCGCCTGGGGGCCGACCAGCCAGCCAACCCAACACTGCATTGTCATCATTGACAGATAAATAAATACGAAGATAAGTGTGGTCTGTTTACAGCCGGGCAGACCTTGTGCTGCATCAAAGGCGGCTTTGGCCACCTTCACAAGACCTTCGCCACCACCTGTGCCCAGCTGAAAGGAGGTTAATCTCCCGCACCAAACAATAAACAAACACACAAAGGGGCAAGGTTGTTCTTTTCCTGAACGCTAAAGGGGTTTAATTCTTTACCAATATGATTGTTCTTTAATAAAATGTCATAAACACGTTTGTATGAATGCTGAAATGGGATGTCCAGCCAAACAATACACGTAATCCTCAAATTACAACAGATCATTTAGTGACTGTGGCTTTTGACCATTTTTCACACTTGCAACCGTTGCAACATCCCCATAGTGACGTGATCAAAATTCTTGCTTAAGTGAAACATCTGGAAGGTTGATCTGTTAAAGCCAAGAGTCTTACAGATCTCTGAAGGTGGGTTATCATTAACCAGCCTGTTCTTGAAATGTGAGTTTGGTGCCAACAGTCGTAACAAAATTTGTCACTGCCATTTCCCAAGAGATAATAAGGATATTGTTGACTGTGTCGGTCCCACCTGCGTTAGACAAACATCACACTAGATTTGGATCCACGTAGTCCCTGCAGATACTCTCTCACAGAAACACAAAGCAGGAGGTTCAGTGGTTCCTATGCTGTCTTTTTCTAAAAGTAGCCACCCACCTTGCTGAACATAAGTTGAGACCATTAAACCCTGATGGAGAAGTCAAGTGTTACCCACCAAGTTGAGCTAGCATAACCTTGGTTCTATCTCAAGGGAAAGAGATAGCCTTTATCTAGCCACCTTCCCTTCCTCTCTGCCATGGACTTCCCTCCTGCCTAAACTCTCCTTCAACTCTCCTTCCCTTTCTGACAACAGGTTTACAAAGAGGTTGCAAAGCTGGACGGAAAGCTGAGGGTCTGATTATCACAGAGACAAGCCCGTTTCCCTTGCCCACACCCAGAGGTGTGGCAACTTCTGTTTTTTTTTAATCTTAGTAAGGGAAAGGTACACTCACACTAAGCTTGCCACATCAGCTCCATTGAATGGGGCAATACTGACCCCCAGAGTCTGTCCAGGGACATCAGCCTCCCCCCTTCCCTCTAACATTTAGTGGCCTTGATTGATTTTGTGCTATCAAGTGGGTATCACTTCTTAGTGACCACAGAGATGGTTCTTCTCCGGAGGATCTGTACTCCACCAGGTGCTTCAGGTCTCCATCCATCGCCACTGCAATTGAGCCCGTCCATTTCGCAGCCTGGGTGTCCCCTTCTTCCCTTTCCTCCCAGTATTATGAACTTCTCAAGAGAACCAGCTCTTTGGAGAATGATCCACAATGCGATCATCTCTGCCTCAAGTGTGAACTCTGGGTTGATCTGTTCGATGGTCCGTCGCTTTGTTTTCTTGGTTTCCAAGGTTCTTGAGAAGTCATAAATGGCTTTCAGATTGTGCTGCCCTCCCCAAAACATCTCCTCCTCCTCCTCCTCCTCCTCCTCCTCCTCCTCCTCCTCCCTGCAAATTCCACTCCCTTCTAGCATTGATGATGTTCCCTAGTTTGGGTAATGAAAGGTCTGTAAGAAAACAATCAAGCTCAGAGATCACCAACGACCCCACAGTCCTCCTCCTCCCCCCCAAGTTCATTTTAGAATGGGATGCTGACCCAGTTGTTGTTGTTGTTGTTGTTCTGGTTGTTGTTGTTGTTGTTGTTATTATTATTATTATTATTATTATTATTATTATTATTATTATTATTATTATTATTTAAATTTATATACCGCCCTATCTCCCTTACGGGACTCAGGGCGGTGAACAGGCAATAATAAAAATCACAGTAAATGTTATTTATTTATTTTATTATTTATTTATTTTATTAAATTTATATCCCGCCCTTCTCCTTGTGGACTCAGGGCGGCTAACAATCGGGTAAAAATACACAAATAACATTACAAATTTAAAAATTAGTTAAAAAGGAAATATTTAAATTTGATCTAATTAAAATATAATTAAAACCCCCTCTAAAAGTTTCCCCTAGGCCAGTCCCGTTACATAAAAGCCTGCTCTAAAATATAAAACCCTTAACAAAACCCAATCAAAACTACGCCAGGCCGGCCGCATGGAACAGATGAGTTGTCAGGGCTCGGCGGAAGAGGCGCAGGTCCGCAATTGTACATAGGTCGGGGGGGGCAGGTCATTCCAGAGGGCAGGAGCTGCCACAGAGAAGGCTCTCCCCCTGGGGGTCGCCAGCCGGCATTGTCTGGCCGACGGTACCCTAAGGAGGCCCTCTCTGTGGGAGCGGACTGGTCGAAGGGAGGTGTTTGGTAGGAGGCGGTCTTGCAAATACCTAGGTCCATTGCCATGGAGTTCAAGATCGACCATGGCTTGAGCCTTACCTCAGGAGCACACCACCAAGAATGAGGGTCTTAAGTGACCCCCATGACTCGGGGTCAAGTTCCTCTTGTCCAGTGGTTCTCAACCTGTGGGTCGGGACCCCATTTGGGGTCGATCGACCATTTCACGGGGGTCGCCAAGCAAGGCTGTCCGCCATTTTTTTGTCCGCCATTTTTTTTCGCTTTTCCGGCGGGTGCCTTACCTCCCTTGAGCTGGGCCAGCTGGTGGTCGGCCTGCTCCGTCTCTGCCGCTTGCCAGCTACGCCTCGGCCGGTGCAGGGGGTGGAACCACGCATGCGTGGCGCTCCCGGGCAGGGAAAGTCCTCGACTTATGACCGGTTGGGTAGTCCTCGACTTACGACCGGTTTAGTCCTCGACTTACGACCGGTTTAGTCCTTGACTTACAACCGGTTTAGTCCTCGACTTATGACTGGTTGGGGTCGCGGCATTAAAAAGGTTGAGAACCACTGCTCTTGTCTTTTCCGAACTCCATCGTGGTTATGAAAACACAGAAGTTCCTGTTTCACGAATAAGCCGGGAGGGGGCAGCAGACATTAAGAACGGAGGAACGGACAGTCATAGCCCTCCTGTTACCACTAGGTGGCAGCAGAGTCAAAGAGAGGAACTGATTGCATCACTTCAATAGAAAAAAATATATCCAAATATCAGCACTTCTGGAAAGTTTTCCAAAGAGGCACGAAGATTAAAGGGATGGACTGGGTTTGGTGAAAGTTTTCATATACAAGATTTTGGGTCTTCCACTATACATGCTACTTTCACATGTTTTTAATGGGCTGTTCTTATTTGTAAAACACACACACACACACACAAAAAAACCCCGTTCCAGAACCCACAGCACAAATTTGATTCCCCAGATACATAAATAATAATTTCCATTTGTCATTTCATTTTTGAAGAAATGGATGGTAATAGCGACTGGACACAAACAGCTCCCCCCATTTGCAACAGACTTTAATGGCAGAAGTATTAATTTAGCACTCAGAATGCTGGATTAAGTCAAGAGAGACAGGAGAGTGGCTGGAGAATTCTGGGGGTTGAAGTCCACACCTCTTTAAAGTGGCCAAGGTTGAGAAACTGGGTCCTAGTTGGTGGGCACGGCACAGGTCGAGTAGGGCTGAGGCCTCCGAGTGAAGGCGGGCTCGGTCGTAAGTTCCAGGTCTGCTTCCTTCATCCCAGGCGGGGCTTGAAATGTAAACCTTTGCAACAATCCGGTCACAAAGATGAAGAGTTCCATCTTGGCCAGGCTTTCCCCAAGGCAGTTCCTGCGTCCTGCAACAAAAAAAACACCCCAGGGTCATTTTTGAAAAGGAAGAACAAAAGACAGAAAAGTTGGCAATGCTGGCTTCAGGGCACAGCTCCTCGGAGCGTCCTGGAGCCCCACGCAGGGGTGGCGTTCCTGGACCTGAAGCCCAAAGGCCCTGACTCACTTGAGGGTTGTCCCAAAGTTCTGGAGAAACAGAGGTCCAGGCCTCGAGAGCTTTCCAGGTGCCCAGTAAGCAGGAAGAAGCCTCCGTCTTCTTACTCACTGTTCCCAACTGGCAAAGCTAGCAAAGCATACCAGGAGATCAAGGGTTGGAGGGAGAACCTTTGGAGAACCACTTCGGTTCCTAGATCCTGGTGGAGCAGTTAGACATCCATGGTGCTGCCCAGGATCCTGGTGCCCAAACCAGAGCAATTTATGGTCTTCAAGCTATCTAGCCTCTTCATCTTCTAGAGATAGACTTCATCTCATAAACCTTCTCTTGGTCTCCCCCACAAAAAAGGCTGTAGACCTGGGTGTCCAACCTTGGCAACTTTAAGATTTGTGGACTCCCAGAATTCTGGCTGGGGAAGTCTTGAAGTTACAAGTCTTGAAGTTACCACAGTTGGACATCCTGCTGTAGACTGACCTCCCAGCCAACCTCATCTCTTTCCTAGACCCCCCAGGTCCTCATCACGCACAGATCTTCTTTACCCACCTATTGAAAAAGGCATGAAGGCATCTTTCTTCACAAAGTTCCCTTCAGCATCCAGAAAGTGGTTGGGGTTAAACTTGTAGGGAGTCTCCCACTGGGTTTCGTCATAAAGCGAGGAGGTCAGAGACGGAATCACTGCTGTTCCCTGGAGCAGAAGCAAATTGAGAAACTAGTTCAGGAATGAATGAGTTCCAGCTCCCACATTTTGGGGGAAGAAGGAAAAGGTTCAAGGTGGCAGAAATCCTGAACCCGGATGGTCCAACTCAACATAACATGGACCTTCATGGACGTTCTCCAAAGCTTCCTCTGCCCAAGCATCTCTCCTGCTGCTTGCGACCCTGAGCACCACCTAGTTCATACCTTTGGAATAAAGTAGCCCTGGAAGTGGGTATCCACGGCGGTGCAGCGTGGCAACTGTGGCACAACAGAAGCAAGCCGCTGGACCTCATGAATCATGGCGTTGGTGAAGGGCATCCTCTTCCTGTCTTCATAGACCGGTAAACGCTCTGACCCAAGCACGCGCTGGATTTCCTGTTGGACCTTCCCTGCAGGAGGAGCGGTCCGAAAGTCAGCACCAGGAAGCCAGAGCCCCTTTCCTTCAGCAGCCCTGGGGAGGCAGTTGTGTCCCCTGACTTGTTCCTCAACTGCAGAAACCTTGAGGTCATCTGCTCTTAGCAGTTGGGATGTGTCCCAAAGCATTCTATCTGCTGGCCTCCAAGAACAACTGCCAAGCCAGCAGAAGCCCTTAATAACCACTGTCTAAACTTTGGAGGAATTCAACTGCTACCTCTAGGTCAGGGGTAGGCAACCTTGGCTCTTTTATGACTCGTGGACTTCAACTCCCAGAATTCCTGAGCCAGCTATGCTGGCTCAGGAATTCTGGGAATTGAAGTCCACGAGTCATAAAAGAGCCAAGGTTGCCTACCCCTGCTCTAGGTCAAGGACTCAGTGGCCTTTGACTCCTTTGGAGCTGTTTCTGGCTGCTTGGATTTGCAACTTTCTCCGGAGTGTCTTTGACAGATGGGATGGGAGGGGAAGCCCCATGGTTGGAAGGAAGGAAACAGTGGGAGGGATAAACCTGGCTCAACAGCCTCTCCTACATTATCTATGACTTGTGGGGACCAGCCTCCCCTGACTCAGCCCAAACCAGGTGTCTTAGCAAAGGAGAGTTCTAGCTTACTCTGGATCTCAGGGTACTTCATCATCAGCAGAATAGCCCACTGCAGAGTGGTGGCGGTGGTCTCCGTCCCAGCCATGACCAGGTCAAGCACTGAGGCCATGACATTGGGGTCGTGAAAGATGTTCTTCTTGCTACTCTCTCCCTTAAACACAAGAGGCAAAATTTGTGCTTGATGGACACGGAGAGAAAATGCTTTCCCCTAAAATACAATCCCTAATCCAACAAGGTTCTAAAAAGTCAAGTCTCGGGGCCTTTTGGCGAGTTGTTCCACATATCTGGAAAAAGTGAGGTCCTTGGTGCTCTCTGAGTGTGGTTGTTTTCTTGGCAGATGTTTCAATACCCAACTGGATGGCATCAATATTGCCCAATTAAATCACATCATCAGGTTAACCCAATTGATGATGTTCCCTAGTTGGGTAATTAAGAGTCTGCAAAAAAACACCAAGCTCAGAGAGTACCAAGGACCCAACAGTCCTCCTCCTCCTCCTCCTCCTCCTCCATCCCACTCCCTTCTAGCCCTGATGATGTTACCTAGTTTGGGTAATGAAACGTCTGCAAGAAAACAAGCAAGCTCAGAGAGCACCCAGGACCCTACACTCCTCTTCCTCCTCCTCCTCCTCCTCCTCCTCCTCCTCTCCACAGCCCCCCCGCCTTCTAGCACTGATGATGTTCCCTAGTTGGGTCATGAAATGTCTGCAAGAAAACCACCAAGCTCAGAGAGCACCAAGGACCCCACAGTTCAACCCTCAGCTACAAATATTCTCTTCTGTTGGTATCTGGAAGATGGTCCCAAGAAATGGAAAACAATTAAATCACATAACAAAGTCTGACAGCAGAAATTTCTAAATCAGGGATAGAAAGTACTAATATTTGGGGGGGGGGCAAGCAAGAGGCCCAGCCCTTTGAGGATCCATCAACAGAGCTTTCTCACCACCTTCTTGATTAATGACCCTGTTGAGGATGTCCACTCTGGCTACTCACAGAAGAGGCTGGGAAAGCCATTGGTGGACTAGGAAGATAGATTGGGGTATGTGTATTTGTGTGTGTGCATGTGCCTGTGTTTGTTTGTGTGTATGTGTGTAAGAGAGAGAGAGAGAGAGAGAGAGAGAGAGAGAGAGAGAGAGAGAGAGAGAGAGAGAGAGAGAGAGAGAGAGAGAGAGAGAGAGAGAGAGAGAGAGAGAGAGAGAGAGAGAGAGAGATTGTAATCCAACACATCTCAGGAACACAGAGGTGGAAAATTATTTTAGGATGTGGTTAGGTTTTCTGTTGTCACCTAACGGAGGAGGCCAAAATGCCAACGTCGGAAAAGCACGGAGGACACCAACCTCTTGCTGCTGTTTGAACAGCATGGAGTCGATGTAGCTTTGTAGCTGGTCCCCACTGAGCGTCTCCCTGCTGGCTCGCACATATTTTTCTATGATGGCGCAGGTTTCTGCGATTTTCTTCAAGATCATCTTATGGGGTTTGAAAAGGAATCCAAGGAACGGATAGATGTTAAACAGCTGGAAAAGAGAAAATAAATCAAGATAAAACCTATCGATGAGAAGGAGGTTACAGTAATAATGTCTCTTTGGGGCCTGCTAATTTAAGGGGTGCCTAAACCCCTCTAGTCAATGTTTTTAAGGTTGTCTTCCCAGATTTTCACAGAAAGGGGGGGCTTCAGAGGTTTAACTATAGAAATCCTTTCCTTTGGAAAGGCTCAGATTTTAATTCAACATTTTGAAGGTGCAAAGAGCAGCTATTCTCCTTATTTTTTTTTATTTTTTTTAAAAGCAAATAAATCTCACGATACGTGCATGGAGGAGCTACTGGCTTTTTCTGGGCATAATCCATAAATGTAAATTTGAAAAAGAAACGTTCTATGGAGGGGAAAACGACAAAAAGACAGCAATGAAGTTTCTTTTGAAAAGGAAGCAACTTAAAAGAAAAAAACACATACCAAAAATTTATAATAGCTCTTTTTTAGATATTCTGGTAGGGCACGAAAGAATCGGAAGCAAGCATTCGGAGTGCAACAGATTGATGCATGCTCTTTAGCATTTAAAAAATAATTATTCCGGAAATTCCAGGACTTATTAATGGGGTTGAACATTAATGGGGTCAAACCCGCATCCAGGAGGAAATGGAAGAGCTTGGAATGTCCAGTCCTTTGCTTCTGCGAAGCAGATGATGGATTCCATCAAGAGAATCAAGGAGAAAGTTATAACCGAAACACTCCAAGTGTTTCCAAGTCAAGAATTGCATTTGGCAACTTCCAGCCCAAACGATTTTGGCTCCTGCCATTCCCTTTCTGCTTTCTGGATGGGAATGATGGGACTCAACGCCAAGAGGCCCTAAAGGGGGAGGGGTGTCCCTGTTTCCTCCATTTCCAAAGCCCTGGACATTTCTCCTTTCCTTCCAGGGAGCTTTTCCAGCCCACTTATTTGGGATGCTCGGCTGCACGTCTCTCCACCCACAAGTGTTAATTTCTGAAGCAAGAAGCAGACATTTGCAAAGTGAGGGGTCCTTGGTGCTCTCTGAGCTTGGTGGTTTTCTTGCAGACATTTCACTACCCAAACTAGGTAACATCGTCAGTGCAAACCCCCCTCCCTTCTAGCACTGATGATGTAACCTAGTTTGGCAATGAAATGTCTGCAAGAAAACCACCCAGCTTTTTTCCCTTTGCTGGGAAAGAAAAACGAGGAAAGGTCCTCTTACGTGTAAGGATGGAGACCCCAGAAGACTCATGACTTCGTCGATGAGTCTTAAGAGGGTCTTGAAAGTTGGGTCAGCGTAGTCAAACCTGTCTCCAAACAGTACGGTGAAGGTGATATTTGTGGGAGCACCAGAGAAGGCCTTCAATGAAAAAGGCTCACCTTAAAAAAGAAAGAAAGAAAGAAAGAACAGAAGATGATTCAAAGAGCAGGTGAAGGAGGTAGAAGAACCCAGGATGAGGAACAGAAGAAGCGTCTCACCTTTAAAGGCGTTGACCTGCTCAACCAGGAAATTCAGCTCTTCAAGCATCTTTCCTTCGATCACTGAGGTGCCCATCCCGAGATTCCGTATGGTAGACAAGGTGAACCGACGGGTGTCCTTCCACGCTTCTCCAATGGAGAAGAACATACCTGAGGAAGACACTCCCTTCCTTCATTTCACGTCAAAGGAGGATCGTATCTCATAGAATTCCCTCAAAGGTCTCCTAAATTGTCACCCTTATTTGTCTCCATACTACCTCCCTGGAGCAGAGAAGAAGTGTGAATGAAGTTGACCAGAAATCCAAGCCTATCTATCAACAGGAATCCATCAACAATAGATGGAACCAAGAATGGTGGCCTCAAGGGGAAGGACAACTAAAAGAAAGTCAATGCAGGGTAATCTTCAGCCCAGCTCCTCCCGTTCAAAAGCCATCTTGGCTGACCAGCTTCCCCTTGCTTTGATGCTATGACCAAATATATATGTATGTTGTGTATTTGTGTCTGTGCGTATCTGGCAAGAACTAAAAGGTGTTTAGTTGCATGATAGTTGGAATGCTCCTCAAGCATGGTTTCTCAAACAGTTCTCTCTGCTTTCCAGGGATTTTTTTTTTAAATTAACCACAATACATACATACATACATACATACATACATACATACATACATACATACATATTCTGCCACCTCCCCTACTTTCTTTCAATTGCATCTTTGGAAGGTTGGAATCTACAAATCAGCTCTCTTATTCCCAAGTATGGTTACCGTTCCCATGTTGGATCTGTGAGAATATGGGGATCGTAGGCCTGTCGATAAACTCATTTCCCTTGCTCAGGAGTGCCTCTTTCACCGCCTCGTAGCCAACCAGCACTACAAACTTTTGTCGACCAAAATGGAGAGTGAAGACAGGGCCATATTTTTTGGAAAGCTGGAGGAGGAAATGGAAGAGAAGAAGTTCAGAACCATCACCTGCTGCTGCTGAGCATTGGAAGCCTGTGGGGGATCCAATAGTCCCTTTCTGTCTAACAAATGTTACTAAAACTCATAGGTTTCAAAGGCTGATACACTTGATTAGTTGGACAAGAGGTTACCAAACTCCTTCAGATGTTTGGCTCTTTCCTACAAGATCTATTGTAAAAGAAAGCAGCCCTTGCAGTCTACACCAAGGAAAGGAAGAAGCCAACTGAGTTCCTTGGGTGAAGATCCCACCATCAGGGTCCCAAAAGTCTCTCTCTCTCTCTCTCTCTCTCTCTCTCTCTCTCTCTCTCTCTCTGAAGAACCCGCCTCCTAAACTTCACTGGTCAGAAGAACATAGGACAGAATCCCTGACATGGTAAATGAGTTCGTTGCATAGAGAAAGAACAATCAAGGTCTGTGGTCATAAGATCTTCTTATGATCTTCCTTGAAGCTGTTGTGGAAAGTTACATGGGCCCAAGTCCCACTGACAGAAAGCTGTGTGATAACACATCAGACTTTGCCCTCTCCTGGTTGTTGTTGTCTCATGTTTCAGATGGGGGAACATCTTCCCATCCCCGTTCTATGTTCTTTTAAGTGAGAGTATTTAAACCTGCAATTCTCTGCTTGTGTTCTATCTACGGATGCATTTAAGCACAGCTAGCTCTGCTTCGTGTATTTATTTGGCATATAGCCCTCCTAATGCAAGTGACATAATACACTGCCCAACACACACACCCTTCTACAACTAGGGGGATTTCTAAAGAAGATAGCTACTCTTCCGTCAGAGCAGTAACACAACCTGTGAAACTGCACTAGAGTTGGGTTTACAGAGAGTCATCAATACTTGGAGCTTGGATCCACATGACATTTGGTAGGGGTTAACACTCAAGTGAAATGCAAAGCAAATTTTAAAGCACCTATAGGTTGTACCTGCCTGTTTTTAGACCCAGCACAGGAGGGCTCAAGGGATTCCAGGTGATATGCCAAGATTTTTCATGATACCCCAAAATTGCTTTGTTTTGCTTGTTGAAGTAAGTCATTGATTCTGTTCTTGTTAAACTTTTGCTAACAGCTCATTTCTGGGTTGGGTTATATATGTGTTGGGTTATATATGTGTGCTCATAAAATGACAATAAAGGTTATCTTAACTTGCTGTTTTCACCACAATTTGCCTTCTCTTCTGGGAACTTTTGAATCGTATGCACGCAAGGGTATTTTGGGAGATATGACTTCATAAACTCTGTGGGACCATCCTTATCTGCCAAAATGTCCTCTTGGACATAACCTTTTAAAACTACTAGGGTTCTGCCCTCATGTGCTGTAAAGAGACATCAGAAGAAACGGAGAAGATTTGATCTCTTAATAAAGTTTCTGAAGGGAAGGCAATCAAGGCAAGTTATAGACAACTGTTGATATTTTGGCAGTAATATTTATTGTAATCAATAGAATATAGGAGCAAGCATGAGGTGTCTATAGTATAGCAACTGTGGTACACCTGTACCCTCGCATGCAGATTTAATTTATCTCCAGGCCAACATGAATAGGAGCAGAAACTCAAATCAATCCAAATATGATTTAAACCAAAAGTTTAAATATGACTTAAACCAAAGTAAACCAACTATGATTTAAACCAAACCAAGGTCTATCTACACTGTTACATCTCCCTAATTTTTCTTCTCAACCTTCTCTTAAATTACCATCCAGGTCATTCCTGCTAATAACAGAAGATCTGAACCATCACCCCTTTGCTCCTTACCTCCATAAATGAGACATCTTGCCTTTTAATATTGATCAAATGCAAATTGCCAATGATGGGGAGTGGGGTAGGTCCGGGAGGCATACGTCGAGATGACCCGCCGAGGTTGCTCAGTAAAAGTTTTGTTAATAGCAGCAGTAAAATCAAGCAGAAGATGGTGGTTGGGTGGAGGAGGAAGGATATCCAGGGAGCCATGTTGAGAGTAGCTTTGGAGAAGAAGAATGGTGAGAAAGTCTGATGGAGCAAGGGTTGATAAGGCATTTTTATCTGGTAAGAAGCCAACTTGGCAGTTCTTCAAAAGAGTTTGCGAAATAGCCCAGACCATTGCTCCAGTCCTCTTCAGAAACCTTCACCCAGATGTTTGGCTATGTGAAAAGCTCCTCAGTTGCCTAACGATGGAAACCATGTGGTTTACTTAAAGAGGCGTCCCCCATTCTCCAGACTCAATCAAATTCTGAACAACCCATAAACAAATATGGTCAGGACTCAACGCCTTTTTTTTCAATATGAGATTTCACCACAAAGAACTTAAGGCCATAAATGTATTGATTTAAGGCACATTCCATCTTCAGTTTGCATTCAGAGAAGGATCCAGAGAATTCCTTTCATCTGAAACCAACAGGACATTTGGCCAAGAGAACAGGACAGTGTTCGAAAGGCGAAATCCTCAAGTCAAAAGATTGAAAGAAATGTGTTACCTTTCAGTGCATTTTGGCAAGAATCTTCTGAGACTCTGGACTTTTGTAACTGATGGAGGCAATAACTGGTGGAATCTAGAGGAGCCTGGTTGATTTTAAGTAATAGATGTTTTAGTCACCATCTGAGAAGGCCTCGTTTTGTAGCCCCATGGCTTCTTCTATCTTTTTTGGAACAGTTTTCTGTGTTGAAAACCTAACTTCTGGACTTTTCCAATCAATGACTTGCAGACTTGGTCCCGCAAGGACCCCTGTTTTGCATAGAGGATCCAAAATCTCTCAGCATATGTGCATTTGGGCAGACGGGAAGTCAAGACTTTCTCCATAGTTTGAAGTCCATAGCTTGTTATGAGATGGACAGTGATCTAAATCCTATATATATATATAAATAAAGCCAGCCTGAGATTTTTCCACACAGGGGATGTTTTTCACAGAACAGATATCCCTCTACAAATGGACTCTGGTCTCCGAGTCAAAGAACAAACATCTTTATGGAGTGTTCAACCTTTGAGGTCTAAGGCAGTGGTTCTCAACCTGTGGGTCGGGACCCCATTTGGGGTCGATCGACCATTTCATGGGGGTCGCCAAGCAAGGCTGTCCGCCATTGTTTTTGTCCATTTTTTTTGTCTGCCTTTTCCCCCCCCTTTTCCGGCGGGTGCCTTACCTCCCTTGGGCTGGGCCAGCTGGTGGTCGGCCTGCTCCGTCTCTGCCGCTTGCCAGCTACGCCTCGGCCGGCGCAGGGGGCGGAACCACGCATGCGTGGCGCTCCCAGGCAGGGAAAGTCCTCGACTTACGACCGGTTGGGTAGTCCTCGACTTACAACCGGTTTAGTCCTCGATTTACGACCGATTTAGTACTCGACTTACGACCGGTTGGGTAGTCCTCGACTTACAACCGGTTTAGTCCTCGATTTACGACCGATTTAGTACTCGACTTACGACCGGTTGGGGTCGCGGCATTAAAAAGGTTGAGAACCACTGGTCTAAGGGATGATCATTTCTTTTGCTTTTACCCTTGTCCACTATTCAACCCATTCCTTTTTCTCATGACTTTTCCAAGCACCAGTTTTCCAACTCTTTATTCTAGATCAGGCATGTCAAACTCGCGACGTCGCACAACGTATCAGGCTGGTTTTGCCATTGCCGGCAATGGGGTGGGCGCGGCTTCCACGTGACGCGTCCGGCCCGCGGGCTGGCAGTTTGACACCCCTGTTCTAGATCATATATGAGTGGTTCACGTAACGACGTTGCTCTATCAAAGGAATGAGACTGGCATCACCATCTACTTCTACCTGTTCCTTTGGGTCAAAGGTGTCTCGAGAGTCACTTTATAAAATCAGACTCTAAATAGCAGTTAGAGATGAATGCCTCAGAGTAGGACATGGTGGTGAAGATACAGGAAAAGATATTTATGAGCTCCATGACTGAAAAGCAAGATATTTTTAAAAAGATTCAGAGACTTTTTTAAAAAAAAACAAGAGGGGTCCAGATTAGCAAGCAGAAGTCTGCTGTAACCGATTGTTCTCTGCAAAGTTGATCATGCTTAACACCAAGAACCGAATCTGGGACTCAGATTAGATTTCAGATTTTACAAGAGAAAGCAAGAGGTCCCTTCTCAAGAACATCCAGATTCTGCAAGCGTTCTCTGCTGCAGGATTTGAAAGTAACCGAGGGGGAAAAGGCTATGGACTTTGCCTTTTCAAGACTTTTAGGTAATAAACAGGCTTAGTGTCCTCTTCTGGGCTTTAAGGTTGCCCAGGGCAACCATTGGGATGAGTCAATAAAAAGTGAATTTATAACTAACACGCGTGATCACCGGGCTATTCCAGCACCATTCCGAGCTTTGTCAAGGGAACGTTGGTTTTCCGAGCTGGATTCACTCGGGAAGGGCAGCAATTTTGCTGACAAAACGGGCAAAACAAATCTGCGGAACTGGAGCAGGAGGTTAAAAATTAAAACCGAGGGACGTAACGTTTCACCTGGAAGCCAAGAACCTCTGTGAAAAATTAACTGCTGGCAGATGTGAAGGGAGTCAAGCTGGGTCCAAGAAAAATGCCATGGAGCCGTTTAGTACAGAACTGTGGTTAAAGTACAGTTGTAAGTTATCTGGGATGCAGACTCGGTGGTTCTGCAAAGAGGCCAAGATCGAAATACTTGGAATTCTTTCTCGGCCTCAAGAAAAAAAAAATACTTTGTCACTTGTCCTTCTTGTCTTCTGCAAAGAGAAGAATGAATAAAAATGGGCTCTTTACAGGCTTGATGAGGGGATCATGTAAACCACAGCTGTCCAAACCTTGGCAACTTTTAAGACCTGTGGACTTCAACTTCCAGAATTCCTCAGCCATTGCTAGTCAGCCATGTGGTCAGACTCAGCGATGTTTATTCCAATGTGACATAGAATGTCTTTTTAATTCTGCTCTTCTTTCCTCTATCATGGCCAGCATAAACCTGAGATTCAATTGCCAACATCTGGAAAAAATACAGGTGGTCCTTGATCTACGATCAGTCATTCATCAGCCATTCAAAGTTACGACAGGGCTGAAAGAATGGTGGTTACAACTATCCTCGGAGTTCTGGCAGTCCCAATGACCCCACAGTCCTGTGATCGTGATCTGGGCTTTTGCTAACCAGTTCACACTTGCAACTGGTTGCAATGGCCCAGGATCAAGTGATCGCCATTGGCAACCTTCCTTGCTGGCTTCCCTAGAAAGTCACAGGGGAAGGCAGCAGGGAATGTCACAAGTCATTGGGGTAAGTCTCCCCCCCCAACAGTAAATATTGAGTATACTTACTATACTTTGCAACTAAAGAGGAACAAGTCTAGCTAGAGGATAAACTCTCAACCCTCTCTGGATTAGAATTCTCTAGATGACTGGCTTTTCCCTCCAGCCAGCAGAGGTCACTACCATATTGCAACTTCAGCTACCAAGAAGTCATTAACGCACGGGTGTCTTTGCGACTTACACAACCCGTAAACCATTCAGAGTTAGGCAGCTGCATGGGAAGACTTCTGCTCTCTCTTCCTCCCAGTAGTGGATCTGTAGCCCTATTGTTTGCTAATTTTATATACTCCGGAAAGCTTCACCTCCGTTGTAGAGAGACTTTATTACTACTGAAGGACAGGAAAATCTACTCCATCTTTCTCAGTCTTACTACCAACACATTTAGAAGGATTCGGGTTGAGGAAGGGGCTCCCTGGGGATTCTATGAGGGACTTAATAACCAGATTCTCAAATCCTGAATCCATGAGGGTGGGGAGATGGTTGCACACAATTCATATGCTCTGAGAAGGGTCCTTGGTGGTGGTGGTGGTGATGGTGGTGGAGGAGGAGGACGACAACGACTATGGGGTCCTTGGTGCTCTCCGAGCTTGGTGGTTTTCTTGCAGACCTTTCATTACCCAAACTAGGTGACATCATCAGTGCTAGTCCTAATTTGTTACCTAACTTGGGTCATGAAAAGTCTGCAAGAAAACCACCAAGCTCAGAGATCACCAAGAACCCCATATTTCAACCCTGTGCTACAAATATTCTTCTTTATCAGTAATGTTACCTAAACTCACCAAAATATAGAGACGGTTATTTTGAACTCTCTTATAAATGCCTAGCTAACAGCATACAGAGAGTTGGTTGAAGGGCAGAACAAAACAAGAAGCCTGGATCCCTACCAACTTAGCCAAGCGTTTCATTTTGCCAAGATTGTGTAGAATGGCTTTCAGAGAGATTTAAGCACATTCGTGGAGGGTATATAGTTCCAGTGATTATTGGCAGGGACTGATATAAGCGAGATCCAAGTTCAGAAGAAGGATGTTAAGTGAAAGTTGGTTCTTTGCAGTGAAAAGTTCAGAAGGATTTACTCTGAGGGCATCCAAGCATCCCATGGGAAGGAAGCAGTTGATTCTTTGGTTAGAAATTTTTTTTTGATCTGTTAAGGATCAAGAAGACAATCAGCCAGTGAAATCTCCATGTTCCTGACGGCTATCAAGAAGGATCAAAGTTGAGGTCTCATCAACTAGGTTGATCTTTGGGTTATCAGTTAAGTTTTTAATCCAAGGTTCATAATTTAGAGACATCTCATGGGAGATCCATCAAGGACAGAATTAAAGGCTGCCTAGGTAAAAGAACATGCCACTTGTTAATAATGGCGACAATAGAAGGCACGGGAAAGAAGAAAAAAAAGAACAATATTTGAGGGCCTCAGATTGGCAGCTAGAGGGAGAAGATGTGTCCTAGATGTCTTCAATTTGCAACGTTGGCTTGGCAATCCATTGTTTTAAATTAAAACTTGAAATGTGGAAATCCTGGGAGAATATCCAACGCAAATGGATGACATTCAGCAGGTTGCAGAAATTACAAAATGTTCCTCTGGCCGGTCTTAGTAAGGATCCATATTAAGCTTTTGTAGCACACCAGCCAAATTCGTGATTAATTCTAAATTTTGGATCTGAGCAGCAATTCGCTGGGAATATTTTAGAGGAAGAAGACATTATGGCCACCCATACTACGCCCTTTAGGACATTCTTGTCGCCAGTGGTAGAAAACTATGAGGTATAAAGGTTGACCTTTATTCAAGAATTTCAGAAGATGTAACATTTAATCATCACCACAAGCTCCTATTGTCCAAGGGACACACAGTAAAAGAATCTGACTTGGGACAATGTCCTCTGAAACCACGTTTGTGGCATCATCTCTCCTTTCAAAAGCACTGAAAGTCCACAACACGGCTTATCCCCATCCTTTCCCTCCACTGATACTCCTCCAGATGTTTTGCACATCACTTTCCAGATCTTCAAGCCTAGAGAGGTAAAGTCACCATGGAAATCTAAAGGGAGCAGAAGCTGATTTCGGAGTTGTAGCTGCTCTCCTTGAAAATTGGCCCAGACAGAGCCAAACAGACATAGAAAACATGTTACCCAACTTAATAATCACTCCAAAACAGAAGGAAAAATGTAGTAATAAGTTAAAATCACCATAGTTCTTTTTCCTTCCTTCCTTCCTTCCTTCCTTCCTTCCTTCCTTCCTTCCTTCCTTCCTTCCCTTCTTTCCCACACCACCATTCCTTTTTTTAAAAAATGTAACACTGTACTGCAATGCAGAATACGTATTTTCCTAAAGCAGTCACTTTTCAGCTCCATTTTTCTTTAAATAAATCAAAGTTTGAAATTTAAACCCCACTTCCGGCTCCACCAAACTCAAAGCCAATTTTGCCTGGGGGAGGAGGGGGGGCGCTAAGATTATTCTGTAACCTTGCTTTTTTAAAAAAAAAAGAAAAGAAAAGAAAAACATGTTAATTTACTTAGAGAAGCCATTCCCCATAATAATTAGACTTTGCTTTAATTTTGTTCAGGAAATTCTGATCCAGAAAGGAAGTGGGGGGGGGGGGGAAGGGAGGAGTAGACAGGCTGTATTATCTGTGCAGTCATCCGCCTGTCCAAATTTCCTCCATTGTATTCAAACAAAAGGCATGTTTGAAAGCGATAAGACCTTCCGATAAACTTCTACAGGTCTTTCCTCCTTTTGTATATATCCCCCATTCATAGAGACGCAAATCAACAAGGAAGCCTTTTTTTTTAAGGTTCCTGGAAAAATAACAGTGCACCATTATGTTGGCATAGAGCAGGGGTCTTCAAACTTGGCCCTTTTGTGCATTGCTGGCTGAGGAATTCTGGGACTTGAAGTCCACAAGTCATAAAAGGGCCAAGTTTGAAGACCCCTGGTGTTGAGCTTGCAAATCTTGAACTGTGGTTCAAGTTTAGGAGAGAAGTGTAGTTTTTCCCACGGGCTTCTTCTCCTGCCTGTAATAAGACCACCTGTAATAAGAAAAAAAAACCCTAAAAAATTTAAAAAAGGCAGTAACGACAGGAAAACCAGGATGAGCCGAAACAGGCAACTGTAAACTACAATTGGTGGGTTGTTGGGCTGTTCTAAACGTGTGTAAAATGTTTTGCTTTGCCCAATACAGTCTTGGCTCCTGTTCATGGACTAAATTCCATTTGAATTGTGTTAGCATAACACATCTTGGGTTGCTTACATATTTGGCTGCCCAGATGAAGTTGCTTAAATGACTTTTTGGAAGCACTGATGACTTCCACATTTTTTCCCCGAGATTCTGAAGGCTGCCTTGTCACACAACCCCAGACAAATCCTCTAATTTTAAGAAGAGCAAAAAGTGTCAAGACGCCGGTAATTGTAGCGGAACAAGGGTGTAATTAAAAGCCGTGATCTTTGAATAATTACCCAGTTGGAAAATCACCCTCTGAGGATACATAGGAAAGAGAGGGATGGTAGAAAAAGCTGCCCTCTCCTAACCAAGCAGCATCTGTGGGGCTGAGAAGTCGAGAGCCATGAACACAGGGTGGGACCCCCACTCTCTTCATGGGTGTTGCATGTATGATGCATATGTAAAGTGACAGGGTTTCAATTAAGTGATCCTGGCTGCAGGAATTGGAAATGCCTAGTCTAACAAAGAGGAGGACTAGGGGTGACATGATAGCAATCTTCCAATCTCTCAGGGGCTGCCCCAAAGAAGAGGGAGTCAAGCTATTCTCCAAAGCAGCTGAAGGCAGGACAAGAAGCAACGGATGGAAACTAACCAAGGAGAGAAGCAACCTGGAACTAAGGAGAAATTTCCTGACAGTGAGAACAATTAATCAGTGGAACGGCTTGCCTTCAGAAGTTGTAGATGCTCCATTCCTGAACTTTTTGACCCAGTCCATGGAGAAGGACCTTGCCGCTAACCATAACATACTATGGGACATGAAAATGTTGTGAGCTGTCAGATTAGTTGATAGAAACAGAACAAATATTCAAGGTAAACAATAATGGTCTAGAGAAAGGTTACAGCTTCCAGGATTTTTAGGTTACAAAAAGCGATAACTTAACTAGGAGCCAACAAAGTAGATAAGCAGGGAAGGATGGTAGGGGCTGCTCTTGCTGAGATGAGATGGAATGAAACTTCTGGAATTTCCAGGTTGAGGAACATCATTCTGGTCTCAGGTCCATTTGAGAAGATGGGGGGAAACGTCTACTAGAAAATCAACAGCTCTAATATTAATTATCAAAGAAAAGAACGAAAAGAAACCAATTCTGAAAAGTTGAATTCAAGTATTGTTTTCAATACTGATCCATTTATTTATTTATTTATTTTTTAAGTTATTTCCTCCACAGGAACTTATTTTTTAAGTTATTTCCTCGGCAACCCTGGAAGAGATTTCAAAGCAACGTCAGGGTTTGTGGCCAAGAGTTTGAAATCTAATGATTGGATAAGAATTTATATTCAGTTCTTGTAACTTGATGCCGATAGAAGGGTCTAAGACAGGGGTCCCCAACCCCCGGTCCGTGGACCAGCACCGGGTCGCAGCATGCCAGCAACTGGTCCGCACAAACAAGCAAAGTCCCATCCACAGGATGCAGGCAGCACACAAAACCACACCCCCTCCGGTCCGTGGAAAACCCCCTCTCCACGGAACCGGTCCCTGGTGCCCAAAAGGTTGGGGACTTCTGGTCTAAGAAATTTGGGCAAGGTCAGGGCTTGTTTGTCTTTTTTTTTCATGAGAGCAACTGCAAAACCTTCCGGATACGTTCACGTTTTTCTTCCAGGAGATTGTCTTCCATTTCAGAGTGATCGTACTCCTTCATCAGAGCTTCGGCTTTCTGCACCGTTGTGTCCCGGGCACGGCCTTGAAGTCCTTCAAGATACCGCAGCAAAATGGAGAAATATTGATCGGGGACCTGTAAAAGGGGGCAAGCAGGGTGAGTGAAGTGTTTTTACCCATCCACAATGAGTGGCAGCCAGGTTGGGTGCCCAGACTGTAGCTGCTTACACAAGAGCAAGGAAAGCAGTTGAGGCCAGCTTGGGGCATCTCACTCTAGAAAAGACCAGACATTGTAGCAGGTCTGCATTGCTGATCCTCACATTCAGGGATGGGGTGGGGGGTGTCTACCTGGTCTTTGTCATACATATGCAGAAGAAGCCATGTCTGCCTGGTCTTCTGAAATTTCCAGCCTTGAGGACTCTCAGACCAGCTGCAAGAAAGCCAGAAAGAGAAAGCTGAAGAAAGAAATTCAGAAACATAAGAAGGAAGCCATCATCGGTACCCCATATCTCCGTTTTCAAAGGTGTCCAGATCTTTGTTCAGACTTTGTTCAGATCCTGGTGGGCCTGGAAAAAAAAGGTATTGAGCAGAACATGCAAAAAAGAAAGATAGGATGGCTGGGGTATTATGGTTACAGTTGGGAAACACTGTTCTAGAGTCTTTGAGATGCAACCTTTATTTCAAAAACTGCTTCCAAATGTGCCTACTTTGAATATGTCCATTTACTGGTAGGGATGAAGCTAGGTTTCCAAAGCTGTCCAGAGGGAAATTAAGACTACAGTGATGCTTGTACATCACCCTAAAGCAGAACAACATTAGAAGGACATCCACCATGGGTCAGGCTAGAAGACCAGGACTAGAAGACCTCCAAGGTCCCTCCTAACTTTGTTGTTATTCTGTTAAACCTATTCAGGCATATTCAGCATTTCTCGTTTGGAATGGAATTGAGTGCCCAGGGACACCGCTGAAAACAGACCCACTGCCTATCTTTCCATGAGGATTGTGCAACAGTAGAGTCAAACCAACAGCGTTCCTCTGTAAAATATGACACAATGCAGCTGTACCACTGTTTGCATCCAGATGTCCGTGCTACTTTGCACTTAATTCTGGCCTGGTCTGAGGTCCTGGAGGATGAAGCAAGGAGAGACATAACTTATCTCATTTCCCTCCCTTGATGAACTTCTTGGGGGTGGTGGTGGCAGGGAAGGGAAACGAGGCCTCAATTGTTGGTAGGAAAAGCTTTGCTCAGACGGGCAGGATCAACGGCAAACGGGGGGCAATGCTTCTTTCATTCATATATATTCATCCGGCAGGCGATAGTTACCAACTTCGGGGGAAGGAAAAGGGAAAAAAAGCACAATATTTTCCACTCTCTTCTTGCCTCCCCCCCCCCCCGAGAATCTCCAAGCCTTTCAGTGCAACATTACAATAGAGGCAATCCTCAAATTACAACCATTAGTTTAGCGACCGTTTGGAGTTACAACAGCACTGGAAAAAAGTGTCTTATGACCAGTCTTCACACTTATGACCACTGCAGCATCCCCGTGGCCACGTGATCAAAGGGCAGAAGCTTGGTGACTGACTCATATTTATGACCATTACACTGCCCCGGGATCATGTGATCCCTTTTTTTGTGAACAGGATTTAATAAGCAAGCTCAATGGGGGAAGAGAGATTCCCTTAACAACTATGGAAAGAAAAGTTGTAAAATGGGTCAAAATTCACTTAACAGATCGCTCACTTTGCAACAGAAAGTTTGGGCTCAAGGGTAGTTGTAAGTTGAGGTCTTTTGGGGGGGGGGTTACGACAGAATTCCCAGCTTGCCACAGTATGACCCCCCCCTTTGTTCCTCCCTGAAGCTTTTCTGAAAAACATCACAACATTTTTATTTATTTTTGGGGCTTGTAAAAGAGGCTCTGAGGATGTCTGCGCTCTCCAAATCATCCCGGCGTTATCTTAAACATTTCAAAAATGTCTTAATTTATTTGGACTCACGATGTTTACAACAAACGTAACAGCAAACCAAACATTTCCTCTTTTTTTTCCCTTTCTTTTTTTATCCTGGTCCAAGGCTCTTTTTCATCATAAACATCCCCTGACAGGACGGAACAGAGGCATAAAACTGGATTCATACTGGAGCTAACCGTCCTGACACGGCCGTTTCCTTTGGCGCAAATGAAGGACCGTAACGGGTGTCAAAATTCGGAGTGGACAGCTCATGTTCCTCTGTCTGGTTCCTTCCTGGAAACCCCGACTTCTCAAAAATTTAATTCCAGGAAAGGGAAAAAATGGCAAATAATCTCTGCATGGTGTTGTTTGCTGGAATAAAATGTTTTTAAGAGAATTTCCTTCACTGGGGGACCCTGTCATTGCGTTTGCTAAATCACATTCATATGTTGTGTTTGGACAATACACATGACCCTCGACTTACGATCACAGTTGAGCCCAAAATTTCCGTTGTTAAGTGAGACATTGGTTACATGAATTTTGCCCCATTTTATGACCTTCTTTGCCACGTTTCTTAAGTGAATCGCTGCAGCTGTTAAGTCAGTAACACGGCTGTTCAGTGAATCTGGATTCCCCATTGACTTCGCTTGTCAGACGGTCTCAAAAGGGGATCGCGTGACACCCCCCCCCAGGACGCTGTGACCGTCGTAAATATGAGTCAGCGTGCCAACAGTCTGAATTTTGATCACATGACCCTGGGGATGCTGCAACGGTCGTAAGTGTGAGAAACAGACGTAAGTCACATTTTTCAGTGCTGTTGTAACTTTGAACCGTCACTAAACGAACTGCTGTTAAGGACCAGCTGTTGTACTCGGATGGCGTGAGCTTTATATCTTCTCATTAAACTGAAAACTTCAAAACTCGCCAATTAGTTTGCAAATAACTGACAGCAGCGGTTCTGTGTTGAACTATGATATTATGATAGCGGTTTTGACAAGATTCTAACTCATATTTCAATTTCCTATTGCAAAAGAAAGGCTCTCCTGAATCTAGGACATATTTATTTATTTTGGAACACTCAGATATAAGAAATTGAAACTTTTTTATATGAAACTCCCCAGTGACTATTTTGAATTAAGAGATGTCAGCGGAGCTAGAAAAATATGAAGTCCTGGGCAGCGGAGAAAACACCAACCACACAGGGATTCGGAAATCTTGATAGGCACGAGTTGTTGGATGTACCTGCTGAGACCGGCTTAGTTTTACATAATGAAGGCCAGATTTTCCACAATGTGGGTCCTTTGGACTTGTCACACAAACCCTTGCCGTGTTTGAAAATATGACTTCGTATATAAATATAGTCGAATAACATCCAATAAATTTCCATGACTCAAGTGCGTAAACAAACAACCATAATTCAAAACAGCATGACGCTGGGCGAAAAAAAATTAAAAATAAAAATACTTTCAACATAAGACGTTAACTCACATTCCCACACTATTGTGGTCAGGGTCCTCTGAAGCCACTCAGTACCACTCTCAGGACGCAACATTTCCCAGCAGCCTCTGTTGTGACATTCATTAAAAAACAGGCCAGGCTTCAACTCTGTGGTGGGGGCCACCCTCTTCATCTCTTGGATATCCCTGGATTATATTTATCTGCTCAACGGTTTTGTGGCAGCTTCTTCATCCACGTTGTTCACCAACTAATTGAACGGCTCGGCCAATTAAACATGAGAATTGTGTGCTAGGAGACGGTTGTGCTTGGTGTTAACCTCCATTTACCCAACAGGCACCGATGAGATGGTCCTCAGTTAACAACCGCCTTGCTTAGCAGTGGAAATTCTGCTCCCCATCGTGGAACCCCTCCCCCCCCTTGCCTTGGTTTGCTGGGCAGGCAAAAATAAAGCGAAATGAAATGAACACAAATCTCCTGTCGGCTCATACATATTGTATATTTGTCTGCTCCAATTGCGAAACGCAAAAGACGCCGGCGAGGGGAGCCCAGAATTTATTCATTTGTTTTTCAAACCAGAAAGCGCGTCTTGCCATAATCGCTAACATACGTTCCAGAATACCTATCAACCCATGACAGATAAACCGCACATCCCTTCAAAACAGCCGAGGATTCCAGCTGCTCCTCAAATTGTGTTGAAGAGCACAATTTGTGTTCTGCTCTCCCTCCGCTCTACGGAGGGATCCGTAGCCCGACTCATGTGTCTCTCAAGCTGGGACGCAATTAATTTGCTCCAGCCAGACCGAAGAGTAGAGTACGTCCCTGTTCCTAGAAGCCGTAGTCTTGGTTCTAGGAACTGCTAAAGGTAGGAAGTTGGGAAACTGGGGTATTAAGTGGTCAATCTACCTATGGCGAGATGTTCCTTAAATCCCACTGGGTCAGGTGTGTTAGCTGCACGGATGTAAACTTGACCTATCTTTAGTCATATGTTAGCCTTTTGGATTCTAAAATGAAGTCTTATTTGTTGAATCTTAGGGTGGGAAAAAGGCAGACTAGAAATAAACAAAGTAGAAGACATGAGTCCAGAAAACTAGGGGAAGCAGACAGACCAGGTCACGTTACATGGATCTAAGAGGGCCTTACACTGATGTTCCTCTTCCATGTGGTATAACAACTAAGAAACAGTCCCAAAGGTGCTTTTTTCTTTTCAAAAGGCAACTGGACTTTGCTTTTTTTCCCCCTTGAAAACGTTTCGCTTCTCATCCAAGAAGCTTTTTCAGTTCTGCCAAAGAATTAAAGAACGGATGAAGCTTCTTGGATGAGAAGCAAAACTTTTCAAGGACAAAAAACACTTTGGGGACAACCATGACCTGGTTGATGGAGAATCTCCACAGACATTTAACCAAGACATAGGATCCACTAGAATTTAATTCCAAATTGTGATCCAGGACTGAATGTGTGAAGGTGGCCAATTTTTGTAACCCAATGATAGTTCTACTCATTGCCCAGGAAAGATCATTGCGAAAAGGGTCAAACTTACGTGTTTAAATAGTCCAGGGCCAACTCTGACCCCGATGGCTTCTTAGGTTCGTTCTTCTTGGCCCCAATCCCCGCTTCTCGCATTAATTTCTTTTGTGCTTTGTTACGTTCCTTCTTCAGCTTTCGTTCCAATATCCTCTTCTCCTCTGGAGAAAGTTCTTCTCCTGTCTCCTCTTCCTCTTGTTTTTTCCCCTAGGAGCCAAGAGAACAAACTTAATCCACAGCTCATAAAACACAGCTCCATCACATACAGTCCACACTAGTGAGAAGAAACATCTGAACGGAGGTTAGGGAATCCTTTACCTTAAATTGACTATTGAGGCAATGGTAGGCTTCCAGCCATTCAACCCTGGCAATATCAGACCCGCCACGGAGGGGAACTTGAAGTTGCATTGAGGAACATAGCCCCAACAGTCACACAGGCTCTCAAAATACATGGCAAAGAAAAACAAAAACAAAAAAAACCCCAGACCTTTTCAGGCCCAAATGACGAGAGGGACCGGGAACATTATTCAAATTTGCAGCTTGTAGGTATACATAGTGAGACCGTAGCTGATGCATTTTGCGGAGAAAAAAAACAACAGAAGAATTACAGAAAGTGAGACGCGGATATAAAGAAAGCTTATGTCACAAAGACACTGGAATCATGCTGTGATTTTAGATTGGTAAAGCTGGAGCTTGATCAATTATGTGTTCTGTGCGCTGAATATTCATTAAAATGAGTTAAGCAGATATCCAGGATAGAGGGAGAAATACACAGGGAGCGGCTGGCTTCACGTCTGATACACTGGAAACGCAACAGAAATGCCTGCTTCCTGGACTCTCCAATAAATGTTTTAAAAAGGGTGGCTGGTTATCCTTCCTTTGTTGGAGATTTAATAAATCTGAAGTCCCTTTAGTAAGGCATGAGACACATCCACTGGTAATCGTTTTGTTTTTTTTAAAAAAATATTCTTGGGGGGAAAAAACGGTCAGCTTGGTTCAGGAGAGAAAGTTAAAGTTTGTGGTAATGTGGTATTTATTTCTTTATGGGAATCACTGGATTGAGCTTCTGAGAAGGAGGAGGAGGAGGATAGGTGGATAGGTAAATAGAAAGGGAGGAGGAGAAAGAAGCAGAGGAGGGAGGGAGGGAGGGAGGGAGNACATACGTTCCAGAATACCTATCAACCCATGACAGATAAACCGCACATCCCTTCAAAACAGCCGAGGATTCCAGCTGCTCCTCAAATTGTGTTGAAGAGCACAATTTGTGTTCTGCTCTCCCTCCGCTCTACGGAGGGATCCGTAGCCCGACTCATGTGTCTCTCAAGCTGGGACGCAATTAATTTGCTCCAGCCAGACGGAAGAGTAGAGTACGTCCTTGTTCCTAGAAGCCGTAGTCTTGGTTCTAGGAACTGCTAAAGGTAGGAAGTTGGGGAACTGGGGCATTAAGTGGTCAATCTACCTATGGCGAGATGTTCCTTAAATCCCACCGGGTCAGGTGTGTTAGCTGCACGGATGTAAACTTGACCTATCTTTAGTCACATGTTGTTAGCCTTTTGGATTCTAAAATGAAGTCTTATTTGTTGAATCTTAGGGTGGAAAAAAAGGCAGACTAGAAATAAACAAAGTAGAAGACATGAGTCCAGAAAACTAGGGGAAGCAGACAGACCAGGTCACGTTACATGGATCTAAGAGGGCCTTACACTGATGTTCCTCTTCCATGTGGTATAACAACTAAGAAACAGTCCCAAAGGTGCTTTTTTCTTTTCAAAAGGCAACTGGACTTTGGGTTTCCCCCCCCCCTTGAAAACATTTCGCTTCTCATCCAAGAAGCTTCTTCAGTTCTGCCAAAGAATTAAAGAACGGATGAAGCTTCTTGGATGAGAAGCAAAACTTTTCAAGGACAAAAAACACTTTGGGGACAACCATGACCTGGTTGATGGAGAATCTCCACAGACATTTAACCAAGACACAGGATCCACTAGAATTTAATTCCAAATTGTGATCCAGGACTGAATGTGTGAAGGTGGCCAATTTTTGTAACCCAATGATAGTTCTACTCATTGCCCAGGAAAGATCATTGCGAAAAGGGTCAAACTTACGTGTTTAAATAGTCCAGGGCCAACTCTGACCCCGATGGCTTCTTAGGTTCGTTCTTCTTGGCCCCGATCCCCGCTTCTCGCATTAATTTCTTCTGTGCTTTGTTACGCTCCTTCTTCAGCTTTCGTTCCAATATCCTCTTCTCCTCTGGAGAAAGTTCTTCTCCTGTCTCCTCTTCCTCTTGTTTTTTCCCCTAGGAGCCAAGAGAACAAACTTAATCCACAGCTCATAAAACACAGCTCCATCACATACGGCCCACACTTGTGAGAAGAAACATCTGAACGGAGGTTAGGGAATCCTTTACCTTAAATTGACTATTGAGGCAATGGTAGGCTTCCAGCCCTTCAACCCTGGAAATATCAGACCCGCCACGGAGGGGAACTTGAAGTTGCATTGAGGAACAAAGTCCCAACAGTCACACAGGCTCTCAAAATACATGGCAAAGAAAAACAAAAACAAAAAAAACCCCCGGACCTTTTCAGGCCCAAATGACGAGAGGGACCGGGAACATTATTCAAATTTGCAGCTTGTAGGTATACACAGTGAGACCGTAGCTGATGCATTTTGCGGAGAAAAAAAATAACAGAAGAATTACAGAAAGTGAGACGCGGATATAAAGAAAGCTTATGTCACAAAGACACTGGAATCATGCTGTGATTTTAGATTGGTAAAGCTGGAGCTTGATCAATTATGTGTTCTGTGCGCTGAATATTCATTAAAATGAGTTAAGCAGATATCCTGGATAGAGGGAGAAATACACAGGGAGCGGCTGGCTTCAAGTCTGATACACTGGAAACACAACAGAAATGCCTGCTTCCTGGACTCTCCAATAAATGTTTTAAAAAGGGTGGCTGGTTATCCTTCCTTTGTTGGAGATTTAATAAATATGAAGTCCCTTTAGTAAGGCATGAGACACATCCACTGGTAATCGTTTTTTTTAAAAAAAATATTCATGGGGGGAAAAAACGGTCAGCTTGGTTCAGGAGAGAAAGTTAAAGTTTGTGGTAATGTGGTATTTATTTCTCTATGGGAATCACTGGATTGAGCTTCTGAGAAGGAGGAGGAGGAGGAGGATAGGTGGATAGGTAAATAGAAAGGGAGGAGGAGAAAGAAGCAGAGGAGGGAGGGAGGGAGGGAGGGAGAAGAAGAAGGAGGAGGAGAAGAAGAAGAAGAAGAAGAAGGAGGAGGAGGAGGAGGAGGAGGAGGAGGAGGAGGAGGAGAAAGAAGCAGAGGAAGAGGAGGGAGGGAGGGAGAAGGAGGAGGAGGAGGAGGAGAAGGAGAAGGAGGAGGAGGAGAAGGAGAAGGAGAAGATGATTAGACATTCCTAGATTGTTCCAACAGGCGGAACAAAATGTGTTATCCTTCCACTGCTTCTCACTGTCGGAAAGAAAGAACTGGATGTTCTAGAATTAGCTCGTTAAACTTGAGAGGCCTTCTTCTAGAGAACAGTTGTGGAATTCTGAAGCCTGCCAGTCTTGGCCATCTGGACACCTGCAGACCTTCCCCTTCGGTCATCCCGGAAGGAGGCGAAACGAAGAGCTGGTGCCGTGGGCCCCGTCTAGCCCTTGGCCTGGATCTCAAACCCAACTCTCCTTGCATTCCTCATTAAGCACGCAGCTCTCGAATCCAAGCACCCCGGTTTCAATAGGGAAGCCGAGAACTACGTGCTTGGCCCGGATCTGAGGCTGCTCCTGGTTTCACAACCGGCTGCTGGTCTGTCACCCTGATCCTAAGTGGGGCGACCGGGAAAGACGTTGGCAGAGGCATTTCCAGGGCTGGGGTGGGGTGGTGGGGGGCTAAAGCTTAGAAGGCTTCAGGGTTTAGAGAACCAGCCAAGGCCGGAGGGCTGTTCCGATGGAGAAGGGAAGAAGAACGCCATGCCCGCCACGGAGAGGAGGAGGAGGAGGAGGAGGAGAAGGACCACAGAGAGGCGGCTGGCTGCCAAGGAGCTCGGCAGCGTGACCGAGCTGCATGGAGCTTCTTTAATGAAAGCCAGTATTTCTTCAGAGAGCTGACCCAGCCTCCAGTGACTGAAATCAATAAAAACAGTCGGGCGGGCGAGGGGCCCGGGTGGGGGGAGGACCCCCCCCCCTTCTCCACCAGCTTTCCCTTGGCTTGGCTTTCCACTTTCTCCTCTCCCGGAAAAAAAGTTTAAACTCCGATAAACTATGTGTGCTTTTGCTTAAGCTGCAAAGATTCTCTCCCCCTCCACTCTGGCTTCCCCCCACCCCACACACACACCCTCATTTGGACGTTTTCTTCTTGCTTGACTGAAGGTTTGGGTAAGAGAAAGGGCCTTGATGACCTCCCCCCTTCCTTCCTTCTCTCTCTCTCTCTCTCTCTCTCTCTGAAAGCAATGAAAGAATTGTTTTGGAACCAGGAACCTGCCCAAGCGGGGACACACATCCGGATGCTGCGTTCCTGACCTGATCTTACTGTTTGGGAGCAAGCAAAAGAAAAAAGAAAAAAAAAAGGGGGTGGGGGTGGTGGGAGGAAATGAAACCCAGTTCAGAGCTGGGGAGGAAGGAAAAAAAAGAAACCACCATTGAAGAGATGAAGGAAGGGAGATGTGGGGTTTTATTGCGGTTTGCCTGGGAAGAATTCGGAAAGAGTTGCCGATGTGCTGAATGCTAAAATGGCTGCAAAAAGTGCCCTGGAGGGGGTGATCCAGCCCCAAAAGCAGAGCAAGAAAACCATCCAGTCTTGAAGAGTTCAGTTCTCTGTCCCTGGTAAGTCCCGTGGTATATATATTATTTTAAGCTTTGGGTCAAAGCCTGAAATGAAACAGTTTGTCATCTTTATTGTTATCTAACCAGAAAAATGTTTTCAGTGTGCCTTCTTTTCTTTTTTCTTTTTTGTTGCTCTTATAAAGACTAAAGGTTGTAAACAAAGCAGATTTTATGAAGGGTTGGGCCAAGAGAGCTGTCATCGGTCAAGTATGCGCAGAACACCGGTGGGAATTGAATCTCTTTATTTATGGTTTGCCCTGCTTAGGTTTAGCTGGGGTTATGGACAAGTGCTCGGCTGGGTCTCATGTGCTAGGATGCCCGATGTGGGGTGTTCGTTGGGGAACATTAGGGAGGCCCCGCAGTGAGGGAATTGCGATGATGAAGGCTGCTGTGAGGAGGGACCAAGTGTTTTGGGATGCACGTCATAGAACCCTTAACTGGTATAGCCGCTACCTGGAGCATCTGCCTTTTAAGGAGAAGAATTGGACAAGAAAGTTTGTGTGAAATCGTATGGGGTCTCCTGCTTTGAGCAGGGGGTTGGACTAGAAGACCTCCAAGGTCCCTTCCAGCTCTGTTATTCTGACTACATTCCATCACAGTGAGACTGCCTAAAAGCTGAGCAAAAGAACAAGGTGTAGCAAGGTGGCGCAAATTTAATGTGGGACAAGTTTGATGAAAAGAAGGACTAGGGGTGACATGATAGCAATACTCCAGTATTTGAGGGGCTGCCACAAAAAGGGGGGAGGGTTAACTTATTTTCCAAAGCCCCTGAAGGCAGGACAAGAAGCAACGGATGGAAACTAATCAAGGAGAGAAGCAACGGATGGAAACTAATCAAGGAGAGAAGCAACCTGGAACTAAGGAGAAACTTCCTGACAGTGAGAACAATTAACCAGAGGAACAGCTTGCCACCAGAAGTTGTGGGTGCTCCATCATTGGAGGCTTTTAAGAAGAGATTGGACAATTATTTGTCTGGAATGAGATAGGGTCTCCTGCTTGGGCAGGGGTTGGACTAGAAGACCTCCATGGTCCCTTCTAACTCCGTTATTCTGTTATGCCTCCTTTCCTCTGTATATAAAACTGTGAAATTCAGCCATGTTAGCGCAGTAAGGGTAATCAGCATCTTAGATGCACGCGATCAACGCAAAGACCTTCGAGACCTTTCAACTGTTTTGACGACTCCCCATACTTTTTTTGGAGGGGGGGTGTGCTTCTAAAGTTTTTGGATAAATCTTGCCGCGCTTAAAGCAAAGGAACGAAAGGCAGACTGAGCTGGAGGGCAGATTGAAGAACGCACGGCTGGAGGAGAAAGTTCTCAGAGCAGCCACTGTGATGTTTTTCGCATGACTGGAAGTCTGGCTGACCGGAACATTTGCAGAATGCAGAATACAAGCATCCTCGTCTTACAGTCGTTCAGCGACTGTTCCAAGCCCTGGAAAAAAAAAGGGACTTATGGCCATTTTTCACACTTACGACCGCCGCAGCCCCCACCCTCCCAGGGTCACGTGATCAAAATCCAGATGCTTGGCAACTGGCTCGTATTTATGACGGGGGCAGTGCCTTTGGGTCAGGGGACCCCCTTTTGCGACCTTCCAACAAGGAAAATGAATAGGGAAGCCGGGTTTCACTTAAGAACCGGGCTGCTAACTTACCAGCTGCAGTGATTCGCTTAACAACACTGGAAAGAAGCTTCGTAAAATGGGGTCAAAACTCCCTGAACAACGGACAACAGCAACTCACTGAGCGACGGAGCTGTTGGGCTCAGCTGTGGCCGTTAAGTGGGGGCCGTTTGTGCTTTCCATCTCCGAAACCGGGACGTGCATGCAGCACCCTTGTGCTCTGGGTTGCTGCAAGACCATCTGTTTCAACGTGACACATTTCTGTTTTGTTGAGGACTGCAGCACAGGCTTGCTGCCTGCAGTCTCTTGACTCCTGAAGGGAGAAAAATGCCAAGAGGGGGCTGCTTCCTCGGGCGTAGTGGAGCTAGCCAAACATTTTTGTTTGCGCCATTTTATAAATAGTTCAGAAGGCGCAGGAGCAGCTGCTGGGGGCCAAAGGGTCGAGTGGGCACTGCGTGGGGGGCCGGGGCATTTGTGCACAAACATGTCCCAGCGCTGGGGCTGGAGGAAAAGTCATCCATCATCCACGTTCCAGAGGTGGGGAAAGGAACGGACACTGCGGCATCTCACGCCAAAGTGAATTCAAGAGAGCTCTCCAAATTTGGCCACTTTTAAGACTTGTGGACTTGGATTCCCAGAATTCCCCAGCCAGCCATGCTGGCTGGCTGGGGAATTCTGGGAGTCCAAGTCCACAATAAGACTTGTTGCCAAGTCAGAAGTTGCCACATTTGTAGACCCTTGTTCTAAATCAGGGGTGCTCAACCTTGGCCACTTTAAGACTCGTGGACTTCAACTCCCAGAATTCCTCAGCCAGCCATTTTGGCTGGCTGAGGAATTCTGGGAGT